GGCTAACATCTTTCTGTAATGTCTGAGACATTTCAATCCAAAGTACCAGAAACTCTCCTGGGACCTTTTTAAATGCAATGGTTATGTTTGTTTATTGCTACACATGTACACTCTACTTCTAAGCAGTGAGAAGTTTCAGAGGTATAGCACTCGTGCAGGGTTCAGTTTCCTTTGGAAGGAGTTCATAGGAAGCTTATGGTGTTTGTAATATTTGTATATAAGCTGAGCAGACAATAGAGATTTGCAGCAGTAACACATTTGCAGCAGATTTGTTAGGCTCCTTCCAGAGAGCAACTCAGCTCTCCATGGGTCTTTTGTAGTCCCAGTCTGAACTGTTCCATGTTTCACACAGTCACAAAATTAGCACATTCCCTCCCTGGGTGGAGGGAGCGGGAAGCTGAACTCGTTTCCCAAAAGCCTGTCTTCTTCTGGAAGGGTCTGCAACGGTTAGCTCCTATGGCAATCTATTCTGCACAACAAAGCCAATTCTGTATGGCAGGTTTGACCATTCAGGTTATGAAGGGGATAGATATTGTAGTGGTTTTTTGTAGTGGAGTAGGTCAGGTTCCTGGCTCTTAGCACCACAGGGTGGGAGAAGAAATTACTACAGATGGTCTCAGGAGGGCTGATGGTACCAAGGCAGGTCCTCTGTTGGTCTACAGAGTCTTCTGGTCCGTAGCAACTGATGACATCATCCAGATTCCAGGCTTCCACTCTGTATTAGTAGCCGCTCTTTTGATCACACTGCTTTCTGCTGCAAACCAGATACTCATTTCAAAAAAGACGAAACTTGCCCAAGAACTTGCATACAAGGTGAAGCCAGTTTTTGAGCCACAGAGCACAAAACAACTCATTTGGACCTGCAGATTTTGTCCAACTGAATGCCCTGTAGCATATTTGATACAATCGCATCTGCTGTTCTGTATTTAGTCGCATCTGCGAGTGCTCTGGTGACATCCCATTGCACTGAGGCAGGATGAATTTATTGACAGAGTTCGTTGCAGAATGCTGGGCTTTTTATTTTGATAGAAATGTAGTTGGTTTTTATAGTTGGAAGAGGGCAGGATAAAAATCAAGTTAAAATAAATTAACTAAGTTATGCTTGAATGCAACAGAATGTTCCATTATCAGTAATCAGTGGAGAACTCTGCTTTTTCATGATAAGCCTGAAGGCACAATTTGCCCCTAAATAATTAGGATTATAATGGAGCTCTGTTCACGGGTACTAGCCAACCAATTGTTTGGTTTGTTGCATGCACATTTAAAGTGGCTAGCAGATCATTTGGATTCCAGATATGACTGTCACTGTCTCTGTTTCGTGTTTTTGTCTTAAGAAAACATTCAGTATAGGCCAGGAGAGGGAGAGATGGTTTATATTCTGGTTTAAAGAGCTGTTTTCCAGCCATCTATATCCCACTCCGGCTCCCTGGCTCACATATAATTTCCACTGAGCTGAACAGGAATGCTATATAGGGATGCGGTAGTTGTTCCCCCTAACATGCCCCAGCACTGCCTGCATGTAAACGTGGTAAAGAGAAAACAATACTTCAAGGACTGCCTCTCCCCAAATGCGTCGACCCAGACCCTGTGATCATCATCCGAGGTCCTTCTTCGTGTGCCTCCTCTACAAGGGGTCTGGAAGGTGTCAACATGAAAGCAGGCCTTTTCTGCTGTGGCTCCCCGCTTGTGGAATCCTCTCTCCAAGGAGGCGCACCTGGTGCGTTCTTTATATATCTTTTGTTGTTGTTTAGTCATTTAGTCGTGTCCGACTCTTTGTGACCCCATGGACCAGAGCACGCCAGGCACTCCTGTCTTCCACTGCCTCCCGCAGTTTGGTCAAACTCATGCTGGTAGCTTCGAGAACACTGTCCAGCCATCTCGTCCTCTGCCATCCCCTTCTCCTTGTGCCCTCCATCTTTCCCAACATCAGGGTCTTTTCCAGGGAGTCTTCTCTTCTCATGAGGTGGCCAAAGAATTGGAGCCTCAGCTTCAGGATCTGTCCTTCCAGTGAGCACTCAGGGCTGATTTTCTTAAGAATGGATAGGTTTGATCTTCTTGCAGTCCATGGGACTCTCAAGAGTCTCATCCAGCACCATAATTCAAAAGCATCAATTCTTCGGTGATCAGCCTTCTTTATGGTCCAGCTCTCACTTCCATATATCACTATTCGGAAAACCATAGCTTTAACTATACGGAGCTTTATATATATCTTTAGGCACCAGGAAAAACAATACCTCTTCTTCCAGGCCTTTGACTAATTAAACAATCTATGTATGACCTTTTAAACTGTGGAGAGCTATAGTTTTGTTCGTAACTACAGCATGTATTTTTGTGGTTTTATATTGTAAACTACCCTATGATCCTCGGATGAAGGCTGGTATATAAATTTAATTAAATAATAACACTAGTAATAATAGAGCCTACCGGAATTCTGTGTAAACTATTGTGCCTTCAGTGGACTGGATCAAGCCCTACTATTTTTATTTTTATTTTTTATCTATAGAAGATTGCATTTGATTTATTGGCTCTAGATGACTTTAAGGATAAGCCACAATGTTTTCCCTTATGCTTTCAATTTTCCTTGTTCTTACGACTAGTAGTTAGTTTCCACTTTCCGGCTTATTTCTGGCGACCACAGTTTACTCCTCATGATTTTTAAAAGCACTGTCCTATGACTTCTTCTGAACAAGCATAAATCAAAAGAGAAGGAAATGAAGTTCAGATATCTGAGCAATGTTTGGCACAGGCTCCTGGAATAGCTAGAAGGGAAACTGCTTTTATTTAATCAACAGCAATTATAAGTAATTTAATTGTTGATGCTCACCTTTTAAGCTGAGTTCAGTATAGATGATCCATTTAAATATTAGACATTACACTGCCAATAAAAGAAGCAGGGAGAATTCTCACCCAACTGGATCCAAAGTCAATTAGGTCATGACATGGCCCAAGATGTCACAATATTTATGCCACAGACTTATGGATGGGAGATAATCCTGTTGCAGTCTGAACATTTCAGACTATCTTGCAATTTGAGAATCCAAATTAGTCAACCATATGAAACCATCCTTGCAGGGCAAAACACAGCTAACTTCTTTGAGGTTTCATTACAATCTAGGAGTATATAAATCTAGTTAGTTAGTTAGTTAGTTAGATCAATCAATCTTACTGAACAAAAGGAGTTGTGATAATCTTTTGGCAAATTTAAATTATGGCATTGAAATTGTTCACTGATTTCTGTGTCACTGCCCAACTTTTCCCATTGTTATGCATTTTCCATAATGTGTTTATCCTTGTTTAGGCAAGCAACATAAATTTCAGTTTGATTTCTAACTCTGTTCTTAAGTCTGGACATACTACAGTTTCTAAAAACATGCATGTTGGTGTTAGAACATCCCTTATGGATTCCAACCACCACCACTCCCCACCCCCCAATATCTGTTCACAATGGTAACCTGGTGTTTGAGATGTCCTAGTCTTGTTAGAGGCTGTGTCATAAAATAAACCCAGAAGAGAATGTCAGGTACTGGGAAGGTTTTTTTAATATCTACCATTGGTGGCAGCACTGGAAGTCTACAGTGACCTGGATCCAAAGATTGGAAAGATAAAATGTATTATCATCATTTCTTGAACTCTTGCACAAGTGCAATCAGAACACTTCTTGTATTGCAGCACTATAGTGCTTTGGGGTTTAGGGTTAGGCAAATCTGTCAGTTTTGGTACCTGTTTCACATTTTTCCAGACTTACATTTGAGATATCCATGTTTCTGCATCAATCTGCAAAAAAATAGAACAGAATAGAATAGAATATCCTAATGAAAATTCTAGTACACTTTCCCCCTAACATAAACCTTTTCATGTGCAATTTTGCCTACCATACATATTTTTGAAAGCATTTCCCCCTAATATAATGTATTTTGCATATTTTTCACTAATAAGTGCTCACTTTCCCCTAATATTTGTATTTCTATTTGGTTGGAGAACTGTATCACAAAATTCAGAGAAGTGCACGTTTTAAATAGCTGCATTTTGGTTCACATCTTGTTTTGGGAGGTGTGAATGCCAACCGAACCAAATTTCTCCCTCATCCCTAATTAGAGTTTTGTTGCAGCATGAAAAACCTGGTGAATAAGGCAGTTAGTAAAGGTAAAGGGACTGCTGACCATTAGGTTCAGTCGTGACCGACTCTGGGGTTGCGGCGCTCATCTCGCTTTATTGGCCGAGGGAGCCAGCATACAGCTTCCGGGTCATGTGGCCAGCATGACTAAGCCACTTCTGGTGAACCAGAGCAGCGCATGGAAACGCCGTTTACCTTCCCGCCAGAGCGGTACCTATTTATCTACTTGCACTTTGACGTGCTTTTGAACTGCTAGGTTGGTAGAAGCAGGGACCGAGCAATGGGAGCTCACCCCCTCATGGGTATTCGAACCGACAGCCTTCTGATTGGCAGGTCCTAGGCTCTGTGGTT